AAAAAAAAAAAAAAAGTAAGTATCTGGGCTGGGGATTTAGCTCAGTAGCACCATACCTTCCTCACAAGCACAAGATCCTGAATTCCATCCCCATTCAAAAAAAAAAAAGATATCTCTTGATAACTGTTAAGAATCTTAACATTTCAGAGCTGGAAAGAGATTTTTCATGAGATAGCAAAGGAGTTTACTATGCTACAGAAAGGGAGAATACATAGTTTTCTGTGACCATATATTAAAGGAAACAAGTTATATGACCTAAGATCACTTTAGGAATTTAAGTTAGTGCGTGTTAACTAAAGAAATGTTAAAAGCTGCCAATTACAATGTTATCAGATAAATGTACTCTGCTCTGCCACTTGCCTCACAAGCACAAGGACCCAAGTTCGATCCCTGGTACCAAAAAAAGAAAAGAAAAGAAAAAAAACAAAGATAAAATATACTCATGGGCTGAGGATTTAGCTGAGCGGTTCGGTGGCCTGCCTTACAGGCACAAGGACCCGAGTTCGATATATATATCTATATATAATATATGTATACATACATATAGATAGATAGATAGATAGATATACATATACACATACACACACTCATTATGTGCCACAAACATGTACTAATAAAAATTAAAAATGTAAGGATAAAAAATAACCAAAATGTATCAAATTTACTTTGCATATTTTAAAATGAGAATATATTCCTTAATGTAATTTTTTAACATCTTGAATGAAAAGTAAAATTGTGAGGCAGCTCTTGGACCTTTGGTAATATTTGATTACTTATCTAGCATTACTTTATCTTAAGTGAGCTGTGTGTGAAAGAGAAAAGGAAAAGATTTAGCTGGAAATTGTATTTTAAAGATGTAAGACAATACTCTTTGCCTTATCTTAATCTGTTTACTTGAAACAACTGCACATGCTTCTCTCTTTCATTATTTAAAATACAATTCTGGGCATTTGGTGGTGGATGGTGGTGGTGGTGGTGGTTGCGCTCCATGTGGGACATATTTTTCTCCCATACCTGATACTCATGTTAAGATTTATAAAACACTATGACTTCAACATAACTTTTACCTCACTTTCCTGGAAAGAAGGCTGTTTGGGCACTTGCGAGGTATTTTATAAAGCTAAACAGCACAGATTCTGGAACTGGACAGACTGGATTTAAATCCTATCGTGTCTTAACTTGTGAGACTTTAAGCCAGTCATACAGCCTCTCTAAGCTTGTTTTCTCACTTGTAAAATAAGAATATTAACCCTGTAAAGTAGGCTTATGAAGATAAAATGATACATATCACATTTTTTTGCTGTGGAATTATTAATTTTAAGAATTTTTACAAGTTTATCCAGTAGAGTGAGTTTGTTTATACCTCTTGTTTTTGCATTTACCAAACTGTTGGTAAGCAATCAGCTCTTCTCTGTAGGAGTTCTGCAGTCTGATTAAGCCTATAAAGTACTCAAACACCTGTTAAGTGTAATTAAATCAGCATCTTCCCCCTGCATCTACTATGATACTAGTTACATATCATCTTGGAGAGAATCAAGTAGTCATTTTTGGGGGTTCTGTAATTCAAATCAGGATTCCTAGTTAAAGACTATGAGACTAAACTATGGAGTAACTTGAGGGTAAAACCACATTGTTTCATTTTTGTGTCCCCAGTGCTGAGGGTGATAGGCAGTAAATGTTTTTGAACTCCAAATTAGAGTTAACTAAAAATTAAAGCCCAGTATTCCATACAAATAGTAACCAAAACAGCAGGGATGGCTATTTCAGTATCAGATAAAGTATACTAAGAATTTACCAGAGACTAAAAAGGGCATAATATATTATTAAAACGTACATATAAGAAGAAACATATTTACACATTTATTGACATACTAATATATATTAAACAAAACCTTACAGAACCGAAGGGTGAAATGGCTCTATCGTAATAGTTTGATACTTCAATACCCTACTCTGAATAATGGCTAGAACAAAAGAGAAAACAAAGAAATAACGGATCTTTTACAATAAGCCGAGTAGATCTAATGGGCATATAAAATCTCTGCCCAACAATAGCATACGCATTCTTCTCAAGTGCACAAGACATTTTTCAGCATATAACATGTGTTGTTATTACCCAGTGTATGCTAAGGACCTTGTAAAAAATCAGTGACCAAACACCCAATCCTTTCAGGGGTCTTCCAATCTAGTCATCTATTTGGAACTTTAAACATTAGTCTTTTTAATATAGGTACTCCTAGCATGCAGGCTTCTTGCATTGCAGTCACAGAAAACAAACTCTAGCTGGTTTAAGGGGGAAAATATTATTTGATAAGGTATTGTTGGTACACAGCATTGCTGGGAAAGTTGGAGACCCAGCTCAGTAAACAGATGAAAATAAAAAGGCTGCAGAGTGAGGACTCTTTGAGAACCTAGTAAGAACACTGAGTTGCCTGGGATCCTGGCTACGGCAGCTACTACAGCTCTGCCTTCTGTGCCATTAGCTCCTACATAAAAAAAGTCAGTTACATACTGCAGCTCCAACCACAGAGAAGGCCAAGAAAGCCCTTTAGGCTTTGAGATGGGCACCCCTAGAGCTACACAATGAGGAATTCTCCATGAAATGGAGGTTTTAGTGCTGGGAGCCTAAAAAGCCAAATGACCCATACAGGAATGCTGCTTATTCAGGAAATTGCCTAAAATACAACAAAGCCTGCTGTCCTCTAAGTGCCCTGGAGCAATCTGAGTGGTGACCTATCTAGGTCCTTGCCTCCTGGTATTTAAACTTCCTCACTGGGCCCACAAAACTTGTGCCAAGTGGTTCAGCTACAAAGCAGGCACATGACTAAGACTCCTCCAAGCTGGTGTTTCAATCACTAACATAATCTGCTGTTTTGTTTTTATGACTGGGCCACAGCCTCCCAACCTCAACTCTGAAAGTGGTTCTCATTTGCCCTTTTCTCCTACCATGCCTAAATTCCTGGACTTAAGAGTCAAAAAAACTGGTGTGAGTCACACCATCATCACTGACAAGCCTGGGAAAATGCTGCCTACAAATCACTGAGCACCACCATACTCACAGGCTGTCAGGAATATAAATGAGATAAAGACAAAGCCTTCTGTAAACTAAGGTTCTAAGCGTAATCTCATTGTCAACAATCACCCCAGATAAATTCCTTAGGACTGTGGCCTTTTCGTGGTCTCTTTGGGACTAATGGTCAATGATGTCATAGCTTTATTAAAATTAATTTTATAATCAAAGTAGTACATGCTTATAAAAGTCTAGTAACAAAACACCTTAAAAGCAAAACTTCCTCACCTACACCCCATCTACTCCTAGTCCTGCTCCACAGAGGCAATTACTCTTAATTCTTTAGTTTTTTTCTTCTAGCATACACCTCTATTAGAATTCTTAAAAATTAATATTCAGTTGTCATATTGTGACAATTTAAATATGCTTACTACTGTACCAATCTGTGGATCAGAACTGTATTTTCTTTCTTTTTGTTTTTTTGGAGACAGGGTCTTGTTATGCAGTTCAGGCTGGCCTTGAACTCATGACAATCCTCCTGCCTCGGCCTCTTGAGTGCTGGGATTGTAGGTGTATGCCACCATGACTGGCTCAGAACTATATTTTCTGTCACTTTTTCCTTCTTTATTCTTTTCTTCTTTTCCCTCCCTCCCTCCCTTCCTTCCTTGAGACCAAACCCAGGAAGCCAAGGAGTACTAAGCTCCTGCACCCCTAGAAATTGAAAAAAAAATTTTTTTTTTTTGTACTGAGGATCAAACTTGGGACCTTGTGCTTGCGCATCAGGCAGCAGAACCACTGAGCTAAATCCCTGGTCTAAAATTTTCATTTTGAGACAGTGTCTAAGTTGGCCAGGCTGACTACAACTTGTGATCTTCCTGACTCAGCCTCCCATATACTGTAGCTGGGATTACAAGCCGTGTTCTTCATGAACAACCATAAAATTTTTCAGGGTTATTTTTTACTTCATGTTAAAAATTTTAAGTAAATTGATTTGTGGTTTATATTTTTTAGAAGAGAAGACCACTCTTATTGGGAAGTATAGATTTTCACACGCACTTTAACAACTTAGA